TCTCTCTCTGTCTCATTGTGTCATACGGATTACTGTTAATTTATTATGTTGATCTGTTCTGTACGACATCTATTGCACGTCTGTCCGTCCTGGAAGAGGGATCCCTCCTCAGTTGCTCTTCCTGAGGTTTCTACCGTATTTTTTCCCCGTTAAAGGGTTTTTTTGGGGAGTTTTTCCTGATCAGCTGTGAGGGTCATAAGGACAGAGGGATGTCGTATGCTGTAAAGCCCTGTGAGGCAAATTGTGATTTGTGATATTGGGCTTTATAAATAAAATTGATTGATTGATGGATTGATTGATTGATTGATTGAACTAACATGACCATGAATCTTGAGCTAATGTTAACACGGTAACACATTAAACTAACATATTGACAGTGACACAGTGACAGCGAAGATGTCATCAGAACAAACGTTCTTCTCCTTCACGGTGACGTTCCACCACGTTCTTCTGTCACTTCCTTTTCTTCACAGACGTCTTTCTCCTGATGGAAACACAATCACACAAGATTCTGTTCCTGATGTGTTTTCTTTATTAACTGTATGTTCTCCTGGTTCTGATCCTGGTTCTTATTCAGGTTCTGATTAATGAACATTTAAAAGAAGGAAAGAGGAAGTAGTTCTGACCCGGTTCTTTAGCTCCTCCCTGTCCCTCCTCCTCCTTAGCTCTGCCTCCGTGACGGCATAGAACTCGTCCTCGGCTCTGGCGATCAGCTGATCCGGACTGTCGTCTCCGTCCTCCCGCCCCCCGTCGTCCTCTCGGCTCTGCTCCGACCGGCTGCGTTCCTTCAAGCGGATCTCCCTCTGACGCGCCTCCAGGATCTTCTCCCGCTTCGTCTCGCGCTCGAACATCTGTGGACATGTCCGTTAGTGCGTCCAACAAACACACAAACAAACAAACAAACTAACAAACAAATGTCTCACGGCGGCCAGGAGACTCTTCTCATTCCTCTGCAGTGTGGACAGTCCACTGCACACCTCCAACAGCGTGGCTCCTCCCTGCTGAGAGCCACATGCCACTAACCGCCCATTGTCCTGGAGACGGAGACTGTACAGGGCCTCGTCACACACCTGTGGACAGAGATGACATCATCATTGTGAGACGGGACAAGGATGTAGTGTCAAAGAAGTTAGGACAGGTGAGACGGACGCACCTTGAGACTCAGCGTGGGGTCGTTCTGTTTGAACAGGATGTCCCAGACATCCAACACGCCATCCATCTTGACGGTGAAGAAGACGGATGGTCTGACGGGACTCCAGCAGGCGTCCATCAGGTAGGACATCTGGTACCTGAGACAAAGTCCACAGAGACGGACAGGGTTAAATAGAGACAGGAAGTCTTCTTAATGGACTCAGAGGGAATTGCTTTAGAAGTGTCCTACTTGGTCCACATGATGGATGACTCCTTGATGTCCTCAGACCAGATGCGGGCTGTCCAGTCCCCCACCGTCAGGAAGTTCTTGGGGAAGAATGGGTTCCTCTGCAGAGCGTAGACGGGTCCATGATGTCCATCGTATGTGGAGACGATCTTCTCTGCCGGCGTCTTCGCCTTCCTGTTACAGGATACCACCACGCCCTGCTCCGTCCCCACCATGAACTTAGTGGGCTGGAGAGATGGGGGACAGGAAGACACTGAGAGACAGACTGAGAGACAGGATGGACAGAGACACACTGAGAAACAGACAAACAAACTCACCATGGTGGACTCAAACTCCAGAGACACGGCTCCAAGAGCTCGGTCCAGGTTCCCGTCCCTGCTCAGGTCCACAACCAGACGCTCTGTGGGTTCAGTCAGCCGGCGGACGTCCCACCACAGAACCTGACAGAGACACAGGGGACACTTTACCTGTCTGCCATCAGTCTATCTGTCTGTCACAGGAACAGTGTTACAGTCCACCACAGGAACAATGTTACAGTCCACCACAGAAAAAGTGTCACAGTCCACCACAGGAACAGTGTTATTAGGTGTACCTGTCCGTCGGTGGAGGTAGAAAAGGTGTCCGTCCCGGTTTTGGACTGCAGCCAGATGATCTTGTAGACAGGGTCTCGGTGACTCATCTCCACAGAGGATGTCTCCACTGGCTGACTTCCTCTCCGGGTGTCCCAGTACGCTGAAACAAACACAAGCACAGGTTCATAAAGACAGACAGAGACATCATCAATTGTCCGTCAGTCCAGACCTGAACTCACCGATCTGTCCATTGTAGCTGCCTCCCACCAGTGTGTGGGAGTCTTTGGGGTTGTAGTCGAGACAGACGAGCGGGGACACTGGCTTCAGAGACATCTCGGGTCTGTTCGGGTTCTCTGAAACAGAACATGGATCCATGAAGTGGACTCTGTGGTGGGTTGAAGTCCAGCTGCTGTCCATCTGTCCCTCTGCCTGTCTCACTCACCGATGTCCCAGATGTATGAGTCCAGGCTCAGGTCTTTGGACGTTTTCTGGAACTCGAGGCAGGAGTAGGCTGCCGCCAACTTCCTGCCGCCGTCAGGGTGCCACGACAAGCCAGTGACGGTCCGCTTCACCTCATTAGGATCTCTGTGGACACACAGCCGACCAATCAGATTGCTGCATTCAGACACTGACCTACACACTGTACCTGTCCTCTGCTGAACCTGAAGACGCTGATGGTCTTGGCGGATGGTGGCTCCTGGTTGTCCTCCACCTCGTCCTCGTCCTCAAAGTACTCCTGGTAGATGTCCACGGCGTTGTTCTGTCTGATGCAGTGCTCCATGACCTGGGGATCACGCAATGACATCACAACCAGCAGCTTCAACTATGGACACGCCCACTGAGGTAAAGTGGAGCAGTGTGGACAGAGGTAAAGTGAGACAGTGTGGACAGAGGTAAAGTAAGACAGTGAGGACAGAAGTAAAATGGGACAGTGAGGACAGAGGTAAAGTGGGACAATGTGGACAGAAGTAAAGTGAGACAGTGGTAAAGTGAGACAGTGGTAAAGTGGGACAGTGGTAAAGTGGGACAGTGTGGACAGAAGTAAAGTGAGAAAGTGTTGACAGGTAAAGTAAGACAGTGAGGACAGAGGTATAGTGGGACAGTGGTAAAGTGGGACAGTGAGGACAGAGGTAAAGTGAGACAGTGGTAAAGTGGGACAGTGGTTAAGTGGGACAGTGTGGACAGAAGTAAAGTGAGAAAGTGTTGACAGGTAAAGTAAGACAGTGAGGACAGAGGTATAGTGGGACAGTGGTAAAGTGGGACAGTGAGGACAGAGGTAAAGTGAGACAGTGGTAAAGTGGGACAGTGGTTAAGTGGGACAGTGAGGACAGAAGTAAAGTGAGAAAGTGTTGACAGGTAAAGTAAGACAGTGAGGACAGAGGTATAGTGAGACAGTGGTTAAGTGGGACAGTGTGGACAGAAGTAAAGTGAGAAAGTGTTGACAGGTAAAGTAAGACAGTGAGGACAGAGGTAAAGTGGGACAGTGTGGACAGAGGTAAAGTGAGACAATGGTAAAGTGGGACAGTGTGGACAGAGGTAAAGTGGGACAGTGTGGACAGAGGTAAAGTGGGACAGTGTGGACAGAGGTAAAGTGAGACAATGGTAAAGTGGGACAGTGTGGACAGAGGTAAAGTGGGACAGTGTGGACAGAGGTAAAGTGAGACAATGGTAAAGTGGGACAGTGTGGACAGAGGTAAAGTGAGACAATGGTAAAGTGGGACAGTGAGGACAGAGGTAAAGTGGGTTGTCCTCACGCTGCCCAGCTGCAGGACGCTGTTGACGTAGCTCTCGTCCTTTTCCACCTTCTTCCTGAAGCGGATGGTCTGTTCCATCTCCTGAGGGTTCACGTCTTTGGGCCACCCCCCCTCCACATGGTTGATCCCACAGCTGTCATACTCAAAGCGCTCTGTGTTCACCTGGAGAACCCATATCACTGTGACATCATCACTGTGACATCGTCATGTACTATAGTTACAGTACCTCATTACTTCAGTATTAGTCACGTGGTTCCGAAGCTCACCGTGTGCTCCGACATGTCCTGGCCGGCCTGCAGCGCCTGGTCTCGGGGGTTCTTCTGGATGAACAGCGGAGTCAGACTCGGGTCCGGAGGGACGTCCACCAGCAGCTCCGCAGGCCGGTCTGAGAAGAGACACTGTCGGCCGAACTCACCTCGGAGCTTCGTGTACACATGGACGATCTCCATCCGGTCAGTCAGGACTCAGACACCGGGAGACGGCCGCTGGTTTACGGACTAGGACACCGGGAGACAGCGGCTGGGTAAGACACCGACGGCCGCTAGTTTACGGACTAAGACACCGGGAGACAGCGGCTGGTTTACGGGCTAAGACACCGGGAGACAGCGCCTGGTTTACGGGCTAAGACACCGGGAGACAGCGGCTGGTTTACGGGCTAAGACACTGGGAGACGGCCGCTGTTTGGTTTGTTGTCTCCAAGCAACGGCGCCATTTTAGTTTCTTTGAATAAGATAAAATAGACCTTTATTGATCCCACAGTTGAGAAATTCCCGTGTTTCAGCAGTCAAGACGAGAAAGAGTCAGATTAAAGATTTCAAAAACTAGGCATGCGAAAGGTACAACAAATACAACAGCAATAAATAATAATAATAGTAATAATAATAATAATAATAATAATAATAATAATAATAATAATAAGCAGAGCATATTTAGTGTGTGCAAGAAGACAAGGTGGGGTGGGGGGGTGCAGTAATGCAGTGTAAAAAAAATGTATATGAACATTGCTGTGTAGGGTCCATAAAGTCCAGTTAGCCTGTTAGCTAGTTGTAGTTCAGTCTGGAGGGTTAGCCTGTTAGCTAGCTGTAGTTCAGTCTGGAGGGTTAGCCTGTTAGCTAGCTGTAGTTCAGTCTGGAGGGTTAGCCTGTTAGCTAGTTGTAGTTCAGTCTGGAGGGTTAGCCTGTTAGCTAGTTGTAGTTCAGTCTGGAGGGTTAGCCTGTTAGCTAGCTGTAGTTCAGTCTGGAGGGTTAGCCTGTTAGCTAGTTGTAGTTCAGTCTGAAGGGTTAGACTGTTAGCTAGTTGTAGTCCAGTCTGAAGGGTTAGCCTGTTAGCTGGTTGTAGTGTCATCTGTGTGTGCGGAGCTTCCTGTCAGGAACAGACAGGTGAGGCGGGGTCCATTTGAAACTTTAATCTTAGTGCAGTTTAACAGTTGTTTACACTCAAAGAAAAAAACAAACACCAAACAAATCATGCAGGTCAGAAAAGAAACAACTACACAACAACAAATAAACACAATGAGAATAAATACACACTGTCACGCTCACACCAGGGTCAGTACCAAAATACAGAGAGGAGGAGGATGAGAATGAAGAGAAAGAGGAGGAAGAAGACGAAGAGGAAGCGTGAGAGGACGAAGAGGAAGAGGAGGTGGAGGAGGAGTGGTAGGAGGAGGAGGGGGAGGAGGAGGAGGATAAACAGGAAGAGGGGGAGGAGGAGGGGTAGGAAGAAGGGGGAGGAGAAGGAGGAAGAGAGGAGAATGAAGAGGCAGACAAGGAGAAGGAGGAGGAAGAGGAGGAGGGAGAAGAAGATGCGGACGAGAAGGAGGAGGGGGAGGAGTTTCATCTTCTGTCACAAAATGTGAATTAAAATATTTTTAAGAACATGGTCAGTCAGTGGATGTGGAACCTTCAGGGTTCTGTTCAGGTGGAACCGTTCTGCATCAGGTTCTCCACGGTCCTTAAGTGACACCATCAGAACCTCGTCTTCCTGTTAGAACCAGGTCCGTTAAAAAGAGATTGCCATGACAAGCTTGACGAGGGTCACATGACCTGAGAAAGGTAGCCCAGTTAGCGTTAGCATCAGTGGTTATCAAACTGCTTCCTGTTGATCAGGTTACGCTGACATTAGCCTGCTAGCTGCTACCTGTGGATCAGCTCTTTAGGTGACGCTAACAGAAACTAGCCTGCTAGCTGCTATCTGTGGATCATCTCTTCAGGTGATGCTAACAGAAACTAGCCTGCTAGCTGCTACCTGTGGATTGGCTCTTCAGGTGATGCTAACAGAAACTAGCCTGCTACCTCTGGATCTGCTCTTCAGGTGATGCTAACAGAAATTAGTCTGCTAGCTGCTACCTGTGGATCAGCTCTCCAGATGATGCTAACAGAAACTAGTCTGCTACCTGCTACATGTGGATCAGCTCTTCAGGTTACACAGATAACAGATATTAGCCTGCTAGCTGCTACCTGTGGATCAGCTCTTCAGGTGATGCAAACAGAAACTAGTCTGCTACCTGCTACCTGTAGATCAGCTGTTCAGGTTACACAGATAACAGATATTAGCCTGCTAGCTGCTACCTGTGGATCAGCTCTTCAGGTGATGCTAACAGAAACTAGTCTGCTACCTGCTACCTGTGGATCAGCTCTTCAGGTGATGCTAACAGAAACTAGTCTGCTACCTGCTACCTGTGGATCAGCTCTTCAGGTTACACAGATAACAGATATTAGCCTGCTAGCTGCTACCTGTGGATCAGCTCTTTAGGTGATGCTAACAGAAACTAGCCTGCTAGCTGCTACCCGTGGATCAGCTCTTCAAGGTCACGCTAACAGTAACAAGGCACCTCCACCCCTCTGGTCACATGACCCTCCTCAGAAACAAAGAGAGAATCCTTTAAAGTGTGGCACCCACAGAAGGTTCCTCTGATAAGTCTGTTGTGTCAGGACTCCATTCACAGTCGTATCATCAAGCTGGGGAGTAGGGGAACCTTTTAACGGATGCATCGAGGGAAACAACAGTGGAGTTAAAACCGTACCGACATCTGAATCCAACCAGTAACATCATCACACCCCTGGCATCTGATTGGTCTTATCAGCGCTGACATCACTGAGAGCTAATCTTTAACCTAGCTAACATGCTAACAGGTGTGGCTATAGTGTTAGCATCATGACTCCAGTTAGCTAACTGTAGTCCAGTCTAAATTGTTGGCCGGTTAGTTGGTTGTAGTGTAGCTTCATGACTCCAATTAGCAAGCTGTAGTCCAGTCTCAAGTGTTTGTATTCTGGCCTGAAAATGTTAGCCTGTCAGCTAGCTTTAGTCTGGACTGAAGTGTTAGCCTGTTAGCTAGTTGTAGTCCAGCCTGCACTAGATGCATGTTAGCTAACTGTATTATGGCATGAAATGTTAGCCTGTTAGCTAACTGTAGTCCCATCTGAAATGTATGCATTTTAGCTAGTTGTAGTCCAGTCCGAAATCTTAGCCTATTAGCTAGATATAGTCCAGTCTGTCATGTTAACCTGTTAGCTAGTTGTAGTTCAGTCTGAAGAGATAGCCTCTAAGCTAGCTGTAGTCCAATCTGAAGCGTCAGCTTGTTAGCTAATTGTAGTTCAGTCTGAAGAGTTAGCCTGTTAGCTATTGTAGTCCAGTCTGAAGTGTATGTATTTTAGCTGGTTGGAGTCCAGTCTGAAATGTTGGCCTATTAGCTAATTGTAGTCCAGTCCGAAATCTTAGCCTATTAGCTAGATATATTCCAGTCTGACGTGTTAACCTGTTAGCTAGTTGTAGTTCAGTCTGAAGAGGTAGCCTGTTAGCTATTGTAGTCCAGTCTGAAGTGTATGTATTTTAGCTGGTTGTAGTCCAGTCTGAAGTGTTAGCCTGTTCACAAATTATTGTCCTCTCTGAAGAGTTAGCCTGTTAACTAGTTGTAGTCCAGTCTGAATATTTAACCTGTTAGCTAGTTGTAGTGTTAGCTTCATGACTCTAGTTAGGTAATTATAGTCCAGTCTGAAGTGTTAGCCTGCCTGTTAGCGTGTTAGCCTGCCTGTCATCCTGTTAGCAGAGCAGCAGCAGTTCGTCGTCACTGCTCTCCGTCTTGCCCGTGGCCTCCAGACAGGCGTCGGGGATCTGAGCCGTGTGGACCATCCCACAGTGTTCACAGGGGCCGTCCCGCCCTCCTCGACAACCGTTTCCACGGTGGTGATGGGGGACGTGGCCGGTGGTGGAGGGGTGTGGCTCCAGCAGCGGCTGCCGGACGTCGCTGATCAGTGAGGAGGACGAGGAGTCAGAGTCGGAGACGGGGATCAGGAGCTCCACGTCTTCTTCTTCTTCTCTGTTTCCTCGCTGCTCCACGGCCTCAGCCCCGCCTCTTCCTGTCTCCAGCTGGCGCAGTGGGCTGTGATTGGTCCAGGTGTGGTCCTGCTGGTTCTGGCTGGCTCTGGTCAGGTTTCTGGCGAGGCGGTGCAGGTTCTGGGCCAGCCGCTGCAGGGCGGAGGTGGGCGGAGTCTGGAGCTCGGAGGCGTCGCTGTGACATTCGGGATCTGGGCTGGAGGTTACCACGGTGACGGGGCTGGAGGGGGGCAGGGCCTCTCTGGGCCTGTCATGGCCTCGGTCGCAGACGGGTGTCGGCGTCACGGAGGTTGAGGACGTCGTCACAGACACCACGGCCTCTACGGCAGTGGAGGGTGGGGTCTTCTGGGGGATAGGGGCGACAGACCCGCCCACTGCACCCATGCCTCGGTCCCGCCCCCTCTCGCCCTCAGTGTCTGTGTCGTCAGAGTCCGGAGACAGCAGGTCTGAACCAGAACTCCCAGTGCTCCCTGTCCCGGCGCTGTCCTCCAGGTCAGCTGACACCAGAGCCAATGATCCAGACCGCCGAGACCGCGAGAAGGTGAAGAGACGGCGCCACAGGTTACTATGACGACCGGAGGATGGCAGTCTGAGGGAGGTGAAGCCGAGCTGAGATCGGACAGCCAGACGGAGGTTCTCAAGGACGGACGCCTGAGGATACAAGAAGAAGAAGACAAATATGATCAGACTGAAGAGACGGCATCACCTGAGGACCTTCAGGTTGGACTGATAGAAGGACAGTAAGACAGACAGTGAGACAGACGGACAGACAGTGAGACAGATGGACAAACAGACAGTGAGACAGACGGACAAACAAACAGACAGATGGACGGACAGTGAGACAGACAGAGGAATAGACAGTGAGAGAGACAGACGAACGTACAGAAAGACGGACGGACAGTGAGACAGACAGACAGACGAACAGAAAGACGGACGGACAGTGAGACAGACAGACGGATGAACAGAGACAGACAGACAGAGACCATCAGACAGACACACAGAAGGACAGAGGGACAGATGGACAGTCAGACAGACAGGAAGACAGACAGATAGTATGTGTACCTGGCTCCCGGAGCACACTGGGAAATCCTCCACAGGCGGGATCAAGCCCTGGGCAATCAGCTGACCATAAGAGGGCGGGGCTTCCCTCCTCAGTAGCTCCGCCTCCACTCTGGACAGTTGCGTCTCAAATGATCTGCAATGACCAATCACACGTCTCCGATCACATAGCTGGACTCCAGGTCACACGAAGCAGCAGGGACCAATCACAGGCTGAGGACACTCACCTCCGTTCGAACATGCGCAGCGAGTAGAGTTTACAGGTGCAGCCGAGGGCGATGACCAGCAGGAGGCCGCAGATGAGGCTGCCGATGACGGCAGCAGTGATGACTCTGGTGGGGACGATGACAGGACAGCTCTCCTCATCACTGCCGTCGCCGCAGTCGTCCTGAGCATCACACACCCATGACTCAAACACACAGCGGTTATTCTGAGGGAGGGTCAGAGGACAACTTCCTGTTAGCTGTTAGTCGTTACATCACTCTCGTTACATCACCCTCGTTACATCAGTCTCGTTATATCAGCCTCGATACATCAGCCTCGATACATCTGCCTCGTTACATTAGCCTCGATACATCAGCCTCGTTACATTAGCCTCGTTACATCTGCCTCGTTACATCAGCCTCTTTACATCAGCCTCGTTACATCAGCCTCGATACATCTGCCTCATTATATCAGCCTCGTTACATCAGCCTCTTTACATCACCTTCGTTACATCTGCCTCGATACATCAGCCTTGTTACATCTGCCTCGTTACATAAGCCTCAATACATCAGCCTCGATACATCACCCTCTTTACATCAGCCTCACTGCATCAGCCTCTTTACATCAGCCTCGTTACATAAGCCTCAATACATCAGCCTCGATACATCAGCCTCGTTACATAAGCCTCAATACATCAGCCTCTTTACATCACCCTCATTACATCTGCGTCTTTACATCTGCCTCGTTACATCAGCTTCTTTACATCTGCCTCTTTACATCAGCCTCTTTACATCACCCTTGTTACATCTGCCTCGTTACATCAGCCTCTTTACATCACCCTTGTTACATCTGCCTCGTTACATCAGCCTCTTTACATCTGCCTCTTTACATCACCCTCGTTACATCTGCCTCGATACATCTGCCTCGTTACATCACCAGGGCTCGACAGTGCGAGCATTTCACTCGCATTTGCGACTAAAAATAGGTGTGTGTGAACTGTAAAAAATATTTAGGGGCACATGTGCACATGAAAAATCAGCTGAAGCAGCCTATATTTTTGTCAATAAAAAAATATGATAATCTAACTGCAAATGTTGGAGGAACTCCAGCCGCCTCCCCTCTTCCCCGTGTGACACGGTTATGGGCGGTTTTCCAAGCAGCTGTTGGCACAAGTCCCACTGTCGGCAGCGTGGAAATAAGTCAAAGTGTGGGGGAGATGGACTGGGTGGATCTCTGGGGAAGCCTGCTCCGTTCTCCCCGTAGTTCAAATAATTTCAATTCTGAGCGCAGCGGTTGGGCGGTACCGCTGCTGGGCAGGGTGGAAATAAAGCCCTTTTCACACAGAGCGCGCAAAGCGCAGACCTCCGCCAATGAACCCATTCATTGTGTATGTGCTACCGCGGTGCAAGAGCACACTGCTCTGCCGCCGAGCTGAGCGGTGCGTGAGGGGGCGCATGTTGCGGCGTCTGCGTCAGCAACGCGCTGTGACGACACCTCGGCGCCACGCGTCCAATAGCAGAGAAGAGCCTGAAGTAGACCCGGAAGCGGTCACCATGGAGCTGTAGCTCCTGAACAAGCCTGTACTCCCCCAAATCCTGTCCTCTGTGCCCTACCCCCCGGTGGGCACCGCGGAAGCTCTGTGTGAAAGAGGTTTAAGTCCTGCAGAGTTTCAGGACCTGGAGAATGTATTAGGATAGTAATAACATTATATAAGATAATCATATTGCAAAGATAATATAGGCCTATATAAGATAATAACATTAAAGACAAAATTAAATTGCAATACTTTTTCAAAACTTGATGATTTCACCTTTCTGTACATTTTGTATACAAATTCATTAAATAATTTTGCTTGTAAATGTCTATTTGCATCACGTTTATTACGGAAAACACATTATTTGATCAATTTACATTGTGCCCCTAAAGTTCTTTGTGCGCTCCTTACTTTTTCAACTTAGGAGCACATGTGCTCCTTGGGAAAAAAGTTAGCGTCAAGCCCTGATCACCCTCGATACATCAGCCTCATTACATCTGGCTCATTACATCTGGCTCATTACAACCAGTTCAATCTCTACAGAACTTGATATATTCCTGTAAAAGTCTGACATCAGCCTCGTTGCATCAGTCTCATTATTACCTCTGCTAAGGAGGTTATTTCGCCAGCGTTGGTCTGTTTGTCTGCAAAATAACTCAAAAAGTTCTGAACGGATTTTGTGGATAAAATAATGAGAGCTGCTTGGCGGAGGTCTGCGCTCTCCGAGTACTCTAGTATCATCCTCAATCGCATCTGCCTCATCACATTGCCCTCGTTTCATCTGCCTCATTACATCTGCATCGTTAAATCAGCCTCTTTAAAGGAGCCTTGTTACATCACCCTCGTTACATCTGCCTCATTACATCTGCCTCGTAACAACCAGTTCAGTCTGTACAGAACTGAATGTACTCCTGTAAAAGTCTGACATCAGCCTCATTATGTCAGCCTCATTATGTCAGCCTCGATACAACTGTTTGAATCTCTACCAAACTGAGTATACGCCTGTAGAGATCTGACATCAGCCTAGTTACATAAGCCTTGTTACATCACCCTTGTTACGTCAGCCTCGTTACATCTGGTTCCATCTGTCTATGTTCTGTATGTGGAACGTTCTGTGTGTGTGGTACCTTGCAGTGGAAGTTCCCCGGCTGACAGAAGAAGCAGTTCTTCTCGTCAGAACCGTTGGGGCAGCGGTTCTGGTAGTTGCAGCGGTCTGATCGAGGGTAACACGCTCCGTTTCTAGAACATGGGAACTCGTCCTCTTGACACGTTGAACAGTTGAGCTCGTCTCGACCGTTGGGACAGTGCCAGTACCCATCACAGCGCTGCTGCTCCGTGTAACAGCCCCAGTTCCCCCCACACGGAACCTCCCACGGCAGGCAGAAACCGTCCACCTTAAGAACAGAGACATGTTAAACAGAACCCGTCCACCTCAAGAACAGAGACACGTTAAAACTCGTCCACCTTAAGAACAGAGACACGTTAAAACTCGTCCACCTTAAGAACAGAGACACATTAAACAGAACCCGCCCACCTTATGAACAGAGACATGTTAAAGAGAACCCTGTGGTGGTTCCACAGGAAGCTGCTCTGGGACTATGATCCTGTCACACACCTGGTAGGTGACGTTGAACCCTCTGGCTGCGTTGATCTTGTCGGCGTAGAAGTGAACTCGGAGCTGACCGGACGATGACACCACGGCCACCGGCGCCCTGGAGTCGAAGGCGGTCAGCACCCTGAGGAGACGGCGAGGGTTCTCCTCCAGACCATCGTAGACCTTCACGTAGTCGCCATAACCGGTCCCATCCAGTTTGAAGTCCGTGAACCTCAGGATGACCTGCAGTAAGAGGAAGGAGAAGTTAGCGTTCAAGGAGGAGGAAGAGCTACGTCAGGGCCGTGTACAGCAGTGAGAGGTCAGAGGTCACCTTCCTGTGGTCGCCGGTGTCGATCAGCCAGGTGCAGTTACTTCCTGGAGGGTAGAAGTCGGGGTAGTTTGGCGAGCTGAAAGAGCCGTAGAAGTTCCTCAGCCACTCTCCGCAGGTTGGGACGTCACAGTCAATCTCGTCGCCCAGGTCCTGGAACACAAAACACAACTTCCTGTTAGCAGCAGCGTCGGCGGTGAGACAGCGTGTCATAGTCGGAGCGGTGCGTTACCTGGCAGTCGATGCTGCCATCGCAGCGCAGGCTGTGCGGCAGGCAGGTGTAGATGCGGGTGTAGCGGGACAGGCAGGGGAACTGGTTCAGGCTGCAGGGCTGGAAGGAGAAGGGCGACTCCACACACAGCTCCTCGTCAGAGTTGTCGCCGCACTCGTCCATCGAGTTACAGCGCCACCAGTCCGGGACACACTTCCCGTTGGAGCAGTGGAACTGGTCCACGTCACAGCTGGATGCCTCTGGTTTACCTGAAACCACACGGCATCATGGGTCACTGATGGGTTACTGAGCGCTGTCAGGTCATGTGACGCAGACAGGTCCCGGTCTCACCTGTGACGTAGGACAGTCTGAAGCCCTTCCCCGTCAGACTGTCGTCAGAGTGGAAGTGGATCCACACATGGTCCTGGGTGGAGATGTAGGGTGGAGGCAGGGCGGAGCCACAGACCCTCAGACCGTCCAGACTCCTGTAGCTGCTGATGGACATCCAGTCTGATGAGCAGCGGTGAGACCCCTGCAGGTCAAAGTCCTGGAAGCTAGGGAGGACAGGGGGGGGACAGAGAGGACACGGGGGGACAAGGAGGACACAGGTTTACCACTGACGGTCTGAGGAGCATCTTTCAGAGATGCAAACAGATGTATGGTCAAAAAAGAGAGCGCTTGTCGAAGCGAAATTCAGAATATTAAAATAGAGACAGAGCGCAACGCATCATAATCTGAAAGCCACACCCCCAAAGGGGAAACAATGCCCGCTTTCCCCTCCGCTTCTTCGCTAGTTCGCTGTCATTCTGCCTCTGCAGCCGGGCCGTCAAGTCTCCACAACTGAATTGCTAGCTAGCTAGCTAAAATTATTAGCTATAGTTAGCTAATAATTAGCTTATAAGATGTCAAAGGATAATTTTAGCACACTATGCCTACCAGAGAGGCAACGTTATATTGCTAAGCTTAATATTGCCGGTCTACCTCAGTGTCCCTTCTCCTTACCTTGCTCGTCTTGTAAAAAACATAAGCAGAAATCAGTCAGTTAACTAAATCGACCGCTACTCTTCCTCTCCGAATTCTCCCCTTACTGCAGTCCAAGCATGATGTAGAGATTCTTTTTTAAGAAGATGAGCATTTGGGCATGCTCAGCCGTTAGCCTGCTCCTACTACCGACACACGTTGTTGTTTTGAGACATGCCTCTACATGCTGGTAGATTGATACAAGGGCTAGAGCAGACCGCTGGAATGGAGTGCTTGAATCGCGGCGCGCTGGGCACAATTATAACAGAAGTTGCATTCATACTGTCAATGCTTTAGCGTAACATACACAATTACAGTTAACTATTACTCTAACAAATACATTTGGAGGGTCTGACAAAGTGTTTGCTGCACATATAGGCATACCGAGTGTCAGGATCCCACAGTTTCTTTCCAATTCAATACAATACAATATAATTTATACAACTGGATATAAATGCATGCATTTTAGGATGTTATAGTGAGTGAGTCCCTCAGGTTGTGGCAGGCAGATACATATTTAGCTGCCAGAGCAGCTGCTGTCCCTTCACCCAGCACAACTGACACTTCCTCCTCTGGTGTTAACATATGAAAGGCTGTTATGTTCTTAACTATTTCCCCAAAGTGCAAGTTTCTTATTGAAGAAAACGTGTCGCAGTAGAGGAGGAAATGCATTTCTGTCTCTGTCTCTCCTGTGGAGCAGTGAGCACATACACACTCCTCTCTGGGCAGCCATGTCTGTCTGTGTCTTCCTGTCTCTACAGCTAGTTGGTGGTCACTGAGCCTGTATTTGGTCAGGATCCGTCTCTGCTTCATATCTCTGACAGAGTGGAGATATTCTGCCAATTTATATTCTCTGTTCAGAGTCAAATAACAGTTTAGTCTGTTTTGAGTTTTTGTTTCAATTTTCCAATGTTGTAAATATAGATCTTTTGATTGATTCATAATGAGTTTTATTTTGTTGTGTTGTTTTGGAGCTGTGCTGATGGAGTCTGGTTAGTTAGCTTCACCATCAGCTGTTTTCAGGGTTCAGCTCTTGGCTTTTTAGTGCTTTGAATGGAATTGTGTCTTTTGTGTTTAGATGTGTCCAAAATGTTATTGCCCGTTTTTGAATATTAAGCAGTAATGGGAAGCGTCCCAGTTCTGCTCAGCAGGTGTTATTTGGGGTTTTCCTCTGCACGTTTAGAATTCTTCAACAGAATTCAGTGTGGACGGCCTCTATTGGCTGTTTATCCCATGAGCCATACTCCAATCCACTGAGTGGACCCCAGACCTCACTTCCATACGAGGCTATTGGCAAAATTACATAATCAAATATTTTTGTCCATATTCTAACTGGAATGTCAATGTTGAATAATTTGTTTTTTAATGCACACATTGCCCTGCGAGCTTTTTCTTTGAGTGCATTTACTGCCATGTTGAAACTTCCTGATGCAGATATGGTCAGACCAAGGTAAGTAAAATTTTTTGTGTGTTCAATTACCATATTGTTTAAAGTAAAATGGTATTTGTTTTCAAGACATCTGGGCCTTTATGAAAGATCATAACTTGGGTTTTCTTAAAATGTACATCCAAGGCCCAGTTATAGCAGTATTGTTCCAGGATGGTCAGCTCATGTTGAAGACCATCACTGGTTGGAGACAACAGAATCAGGTCATCTGCACAGAGCAAATATCTAACCTCTGTGTCAAAGAGTGTGAGGCCTGGAGCTGTTGAGCGGTTCAGCTGGTCTGCAAGTTCATTTATATACAGGTTGAATAATGTGGGCCTTAAACAGCATCCTTGCTTTACACCGCGTCCTTGAGTAAAATATTCTGTTCTTTGATTGTGAATTTTCACAGCACATTTGTTGTGTTTGCACATGCATTTAATGACATCATATGTTTTACCACCTCGTCCACTTTGAGGGATTTTGTAGAGAAGTCCTTCATGTCAAATGGAATCAAAAGCTTTTCTGAAATCTTTTGACTCTCTCTCTCTCTCTATGTCTGTCCCTGTCTCTGTCCCTGTGTCTGACTCTCTCTGTTTCTGTCTCTGTCCCTGTCTGACTTTCTCTCTTTGTCCCTGTCTCTGTCTGTCCCTTTTCCCGTCTCTGTCCCTGTCTCTATCTCTGTCTGTCCCCCTCTGTGTCTCTGGTGTACCTGATGGTGACGGTGTCCCCTGGTCTGGCTCTGATGTTCCAGCTGCAGTTGAGACGAGCCGGGTACTGGAAGGGCCAACCAGGACTGGTGATGACACCGCTGGACGCTCGCAGCAGCTCTGCCACATCCCCACAGGCTGAGACACACAGGGGGACATACAGAGAGACAGACAGAGACACACAGGGACAGATAGAGAGACAGTTAGATTCACACTGTTGATGTTAAGCTCCTTTTGACGGCTGATGTGACATCATCATGGCTGTGACATCATCGTGGCTATGACCTCACCGTTAGAGATCCCTGAGACGTAGACATTGTCGTTCCTCTGAGACGCAGTGATGCATCCTGGGAAAGAGACACAGAGATACAGAGTGTGTCAGCCAGGAAGACGAGGACGACCTTAATTCTGACATCATGTGTGCCCTCAGACTGTTGGACCGCCACCGTCCCCTTAAACCAGACGGTCCCAACAGAGGGGTCACAGGTGCACTCTGATGGACCGCCAGTGACATCTGTCTTTGTTTGAACTTTGGATATACCTCTAGAACAGGAAGTGATGTCACACTTCCTGTTGGCTCATTAGAAGAAGATGATACAGGTCCTTTCAGTAACAGGCCCCTCCCCATTCCCACTGTGTCACAGAGTGAGGTGGGGTTTATACTTCTGCCTTGAATCAACGCTGTGCCTACCCTAGGCTAATTTATACAATGTAAAATGCCATAGACTTGTGCTAACAATGTTAGCATGTTGTATTTGTTCAGAGTGTTTGTCTGCTGTCCCTGCGAGTTATACTGAAGCTGATGTGAGACTCCGCCGCTGCCCCTGGTGTTGTGGAGGTGTAACTGCAGCAGACACACCACCACACAGGTATCAGTGCACACAGCGGTGTGACTCCGTCTGCCGTCTCATCACAGTGTGTCTCCGTCATTAATTGTTTGTTTGTTTATTTAGGATCCCCATTACTTGTTACCACAGCAAGAGCTATTCTTCATTAAGGTGGAGGAGATAAACACTAACTTCCTGCTCTGCAGCAGGAACAGGAAGTGTCCTAACTTTTCATATCCACTGACAAAATAAAACTTTATCAAAGTTTATGTTCAGCTGTTTGGTTTCTGTAACATTTGTAAATAAAACATAACGGACTCAGGACGCAAGGTTTCTGTGCGACATGATATTTTATGGATTAAACAAATGAATCCCAAAAGCACAGACTCAGTGTGTGAAGGCCTGAAGGCAGCGTTAATGCTGTCTGAGGGTTTCATGACTCATTTCCTGTCCCCATCAGCTGGTCTGAGACCAGTTCAAGCTGTGTCTCAGTTCAGGCGCTGCAGCCTTCAAAGGACGCAGCATTCGCCGTCAACGTCGGCCATGTCCTTTGAAGACTGCATCAGCCAAACCACTGGTGTTCCTGTTACCGAGCAACCAGGTAAGTCAGTAAGTTAGTTAGCCCTGAATCATGGAGCCACAGATTGGTATTATATATGTTCTATTTAATACGTGAAGAGACGCCGCTCAGACCAAGAACCAGCGACCCTCCGGTTCCCAACCAGGTCCCCACAGACCGAGATACTGCTGCTACATCAGGTGTTATGGAGGTCAGTACACAACACCTGTACAGATGTGATGGGTTGAGGAACACCTGTACAGATGTGACTCGTTGAGGAACGCCTGTACAGATGTGACCCGTTGAGGAACACGTGTACAGATAAAAGCCTCCTGTTGTCGGATACGACATGAAACTACTCCAGTTAGCTCAGTCATGTTGTAACTAAGACATCCGCTGGAAAAAAAATTTTTTTCACGTTGACGAGACGGTGAGCGGTCACTATGGACGCGGAGCTTGTTGTTTCTGTAGGTACACATTTCCTGGGGACACCTGCACGTCTTGGCCACGCCCCCTCCATTGTGATTGGCTAAAGCGCAGCATCGTTCAAACGCAAAGTCCCGCCCTCCCCCCCCCTCTGTAGTCGTCTTTCACACAGGGCTGCTGACAGATTCTACAATGTAAATTGCAGAATCTGTCTTGAGAGATTAGTACAGATGTGACCCGTTGAGGAACACCTGTACAGATGTGACGTGTTAAGGAACACCTGCAGACAGTCAGACTGGTAGCGTTACAGCTGTGCCTGAAAGGACTCACCTGACAGAACGAGCAGGTACACAGCACACTTGCAGCCTGATCTAGCGGCCATGATGATGATGATGATGAAGGTCAATGGACAGCTGGAGGAGCTGACAGCTGCATGTCAGACACGCGTCAAAAAACAAAACAAAACACTGAAATCTTCCCAGAAACTGCTGACACATCTGTTAGCTTAGCATCGATGTCTCTCTTTACTCGGACGAAGCTAACGAGGCTAACGGTCCGAGCTAACGCTGCTCCACCATCCAAACAAAGACTCCCGTTAGCTCCGGCTAACGGCTAACGTTAGCTGAGACTAACCGTTAGCTCCACAGTGTCGGTTTTTGCACGGCGACACATCCCGGGACAACAACCCGGGACACGGAACGGTGTTAGAATGAGAAATATAACGGAATACAGTAAGAACACACGCTAACTGCCGGGTTATTCACTAGAAGCTAACAGCTAAAGAAGCTAACGTTAACAACACTGGCCGCTTAGCTGAACATGCTAACGGAGCTAAGCGGTTAGCGAACCCGTCCTCCTCCACAACAAGGACACTAAGCCCGGACAGGGACGGCTAACCCGGATTATTCACAGCCGGCCCAGGTTCCTCTCAGCTGACCCGGGTTACACTCAGCTGACACGAGCTAACTACCGGAATCGGGCGAGAGGTTAGCAGCGCGAGCGTTGCTCCATCTTGTCGGTTTGTGTTAGCTGTTAGCCGTTAGCTTAGGTGTCGAGCGGAACAACAACAGATCAGTGTGTGATGATGCGTGTTAGCCCCGCCCCTCCACGTCTGTCCCTGTGACGTCATGAATCATACTAACTTATTAATTAATTAATTTATTTATTGTATTAAAATGCATTTATTTATTGTTTATTTCTTCGGCCTCTCTTATCATTAGATTCTCACAGACACTAAAGGCCCCGCAGAGGCTCAACCTGCCTCAGGAAATGCTGATCATGTTCTACACAGCCATCATCCAGTAAGTTCTCTGCACATCCATCACCGTCTGGTTTGGATCTGCCACCAAACTGGACAGGGACAGACTGAAACAGACAATCAGGTGTGCAGAGAGGATTATTGGGACTGATCTTCCCTCCATCCAGGACCTGTACAGGTCAAGGATCAGGAAACACGCTACAGAGCAGTGTTTGCCGAAACCACCTGTCACAAAGACGGTCTCTTCCCCCAGGCTGTCGCTCTGATGAACTCCTAACAGTCACACAGTGGCAGGTCAACAACACTGCATCCTTGTTATTGTATATCTTCTGTATATTCTGTATGTTCTTGCCTAAATTTGTGTACTTATATCATTTCTGGTACCTTGAGAGCAAATCTACCAGAGTCAGATTCCTCGTACACATGTACTTGGTGAATAAAGCTGATTCTGATAATTATTTATTATGTCTATTTATTTCTTGTTCTATCAATCAATCAATTTTATTTATAAAGCCCAATATCACAAATCACAATTTGCCTCACAGGGCTTTACAGCATACGACATCCCTCTGTCCTTATGACCCTCACAGCTGATCAGGAAAAACTCCCCAAAAAAACCCTTTAACGGGGAAAAAACCTCAGGAAGAGCAAATGAGGAGGGATCCCTCTACCAGGACGGACAGACGTGCAATAGATGTCGTACAGAACAGATCAACATGATAAATTAACAACAATCCATATGACACAATGAGACAGAGAGAGAGAGAGAGAGAGAGAGAGACAGAGAGACAGATGCAGGACAGACGGTAATGACAGTAGCTTACAACAACATTATTGAAAGTAATAATATTATAGTTATAGTTCTGGCTACTGTGGTACAATATGTTGAAAGTATGTATTAATATCTGGCAGTATACATGTGTGACAATAGTCATATGTGTATAATAACAGTAGAAGTATGACTAATGACTAATGATGGCAGCAGCAGCAGGAGGCATCTGGCAGGACCACGGCAGCAGCACAACCACACACGTCACGCTGTCCAGGCACCGCTGCGATATGAGTTAATCTGAGAGACAGTGGAGCACAAAGGCTCCGGAGAAGAAGCCGAGTTAGTGACATCCAGAATGGCCGAGTTAGCAAGATGCAGTAATAGAATACGAGAGAGAGAGAGAGAGAGAGAGAGAGAGAGAGAAGGAGAGAAGGTGCCCGGTGTATTATAGGGGGGTCCTCCGGCAGACTAGGCCTAAGTCAGCCTAACTAGGGGCTGGTACAGGGCAAGCCTGAGCCAGCCCTAACTATAAGCTTTATCAAAGAGGAAAGTCTTAAGTCTAGTCTTAAATGTGGAGACGGTGTCTGCCTCCCGGACCGTAACAGGAAGATGATTCCACAGGAGAGGAGCCTGATAGCTGAAGGCTCTGGCTCCTGATCTACTTTTGGAGACTTTAGGGACCACGAGTAACCCTGCGTTCTCAGAGCGCAGTGTTCTGGTGGGATAATATGGCACTATGAGCTCTCTAAGATATGACGGAGCTTGACCATTTAGAGCTTTATAAGTTAACAGTAGGATTTTAAATTCAATTCTGGATTTTACAGGGAGCCAGTGCAGAGAAGCTAAAACAGGAGAAATATGATCTCGTTTCTTAGTTCCTGTTAGTACACGTGCTGCTGCATTCTGAATTAGCTGGAGAGTTTTTAAGGACTTACTAGAGCTACCTGATAATAGAGAGTTACAGTAATCCAGCCTTGAGGTAACAAAAGCGTGGACCAATTTTTCTGCATCTTTTCGGGTCAGGATAGGCCTAATTTTCGCAATATTACGCAGATGAAAAAATGCAGTCCGTGAGGTTTGCTTTAAATGAGAATTAAAAGACAAATCTTGATCAAATATTACTCCGAGGTTTCTTACGGTAGTGCTAGAGGCCAGAGCAATGCCATCTAGAGAAACTATGTCATCAGATAAAGAGTCTCTGAGTTGTTTGGGGCCAAGAACAATAACTTCAGTTTTGTCTGAATTTAACATCAGGAAATTGGTGCTCATCCAATTTTTTATGTCTTTAAGGCAGTTATGGAGTTTAGTTAATTGATTACTTTCTTCTGGCTTCATCGATAAATACAACTGTGTATCATCCGCATAACAATGGAAATTTATAGAGTGATTTCTAATGATGTTACCTAAAGGAAGCATATATAGAGTAAATAGGATTGGTCCGAGCACAGAACCTTGCGGAACTCCAAAACAAACTTTGGTACGTAAGGATGATTCATTACGAACGTCAACAAATTGAAAACGATCAGATAAATAAGATTTAAACCAGCTTAGTGCTGAACCTTTTAGGCCAATTAAGTGATCCAGTCTCTGCAGTAGAATTTGATGGTCAATTGTGTCAAACGCCGCACTAAGATCTAATAAAACAAGAACAGAGACGAGTCCTTTGTCTGAAGCAATCAGAAGGTCATTTGTAATTTTAACTAGAGCTGTCTCAGTGCTATGATGCACTCTAAATCCTGACTGAAATTCCTCAAATAAATTATTATCCTGGAGAAAATCACACAGCTGGTCTGCGACTACTTTCTCAAGGATCTTTGACATAAAGGGAAGATTAGATATTGGTCTATAGTTGGCTAACACCTCTGGATCCAGGGTGGGCTTTTTTAGGAGAGGTTTAATTACAGCTACCTTAAAAGACTGTGGTACATAGCCTGTTAATAAGGATATATTGATCATATCTAATATATGAGTGTTAACTAAAGGAAAGACCTCCTTAAGTAGCCTAGTTGGGATGGGGTCTAAGAGACACGTTGATGATTTAGATGAAGAAATCACTGCTGTCAATTCTTGAAGAGAAATTGGGGAGAAGCAATCTAAATATATATTAGGTCTTACAGCTGTGTTTGAGGTTAGATAGGTACTATCTGAGGGCAGGAGGTCATGAATTTTGCCTCTAATAGTTAGAATTTTGTCACTAAAAAAGCTCATAAAATCATTACTGCTAAGGGCTAAAGGAATACAAGGCTCAATAGATAATAACCCTAACCCTAATAAATAATTAGGCAATTTATTTTATTGTCATTCCTTTATTTATGACTTATTTTACTCTTCTTTTTCTTATATTTTTTATTGTTATGCCTTTATTTTATTTATTGTTCTTCCTTTTCTTCTGCTTGTCATTAATTAATTGTATGCATTTAATCATTATTATATTTATTTCTTGCTCTTATTAATCTTTATTTGTTTCAATTTTTTCTCATTATTATTATTAATATATGCATACTATTACGCGTTTATTATTTGTTCATTCTTTTTCTTCTTGATATTAATGATTTTATTTTTATTATTCTACATTTATTCATTCATTTATTTGTATTTTCTTTATCATCGAAGTTATTTGCTGTTTTGGTTTTGTCAGGTTTTTTTAAGCTCCACTGTGCAGGTTGATTACCAAAATGTAAATAAATAACCAAACTAACAATAAGAAAATAAGATAAAAATATGTGCTATATGTCTTAATCATATCAATTAATAATCAATAAAAAAAGAATTACAGATGAACTTAAATAAAATAATAATAAATTTTCTAAACTTTCTAAACTAAAGATGGACGGATACTGAAACTCTGATGTTTTTATATAGGTGTTTGTTATTTATTCTTCTTTTGTTTCCATGGAAACGCAGAAGTCTTGTATATGAACCAACCTTTAACAGAACGTCACATGACAAACATGATCTGTCATCGTTCATCTGTAACATCTGTTTATTTCTGAGAAAACTTCGACACGTTTCTGCTTCAAACAGCTGATTTATTTATTTTACAGGACGACACTGAACACATCATGAGAACGTTTACCTTCAGCCAGTGCTCATTTTTACTGAGGAGAGCCTGAACGCATCAGTGACTCACTGCGTTCGTCACAGGTTCACAGGAAGTAGAGTCTGTTCAGTCACTTCCTGTTCAGAGCCTCTGAATCCTCTGAGTGAGGACGAGACGACCGGCTCAGACCGGTTTGATTCAGTGTGACGGGCGCCTGTCGTCATGACCCGTTCAGACCAATCAGGAGGAGGGAACAGGCTGATGGTTACCACGGTAACAGAGCTACCCGAGTGTACGTAAACACAGCGAGACTCAGCGAGACGTCAACCAATCAGCAGCTACAATGAAGAGGAAGCTGCTGCTGATGATGACGATGAAGAGTCCTCCACGTATTTCTGCAGGAAGTGGTCCAGCGTGAAGACCTCCCCCCAGCCCACGCCGGCGATCATACTGATGAAGTCGTCCAGGTTCATCTGACACTCTGAGGAGGAATCACATCACAGTGATGTTATCATGATGTCATCACACAGGTAGCATCATCATCACACATGCTGAGGGGCGGGGTCATGTGACCTGCGGTGCATATGGGGGGGTAAGGTGGGGGGGGCATCTTCCATGACCCGTCAGAGTTCTTCATGTGTGATCTGTCGGACGCAAAGTTCAACAGGAAGCAGTGGGCGGGGACGACACGCAACTTCCTGTGGGAGGAGACAGATGTGAGGTGTTTACCTGTGTTGTTTACCTGTGTTGTTCAGGGTCCTATTTCAGAAAGCAGGATCAGTGAAACTCTGAGTTTGTTCAGCCTGAGATGAAACTCTGAGTTTTCCGTTTCACAAAGCCAGTTCAGTGTAACCCTGAGTCAGTTACTATGGCAACATACTCTGTGAAGCTAACCTGCTGAGTCACAGGTTTGCTTCATGTCAGCCTGAGGCTGAGCGTGTAGCAGGAAGTAGAAACATGGCGTGTCCTTTAGTGAATGAAGTGGTGGAGGTTGAGGCCCAGTGTATTCAGAGGCTGTTGTGTAAGGAGAAGGTGATTAGAGCCTGTTTGGATGTCTCCCTGGAGGAGTGTCTATATGAAAGATACTGTTTGACCTCACACTCTATCATTTATCTAACAATCTGTTCCACCCACATATATCACATATTACACATCCTGGATTTACATTATCATCACAGCACATTTTATGCATTGTCCTTTGATTCTTTTCTTTATAACATCAGAGACACTGAACACATCAGAGAGACAGCGGTTTGTCGGCCCGTAAGAAAAGTGTCTCTGGCTCTGAAAAGACTTTGGACCCTTGTTGTGGTTTTCCCTGGTCATAAATCACAATCCATTATCAAGGACAAGTCCTACGGGTCATCGGTAGCTCAGTGGATGGAGCGGGCGCCATAAGTATGGGAGCTTAGTCCTTGATGCAGCGGCCGCGGGTTCAAACCCAGCCTGCTGTCCTGTGCTACGTGTCGTTCCCTCTCTCCCCATAACGTTATGCTGTCCTGACATTAAAGGCAACAAAAGCCCAAAAATAATGTTTAACAAAAGAACTGCAGGTGTCTCAGTGTTGATGAGAAATGAATCTACCTGGACACATGATGAGGTCATTGATCAAGACGTCTCATATATTCAAAGATGGAACTGGCTCACTGATGGGACTCAACATCCCATAATAGCTCCATCAGCCTGATGTCCACGTCGTCATGACGTCAGGATCAGTTCCAGTCTGTTTAATATCTGTGTGTTTGATGTTGAGTTTGTGCCCAGTGTGTTTGGGCTCCATCACATTACAGCTGGATAAATTATATTCAAATATATGAACACTGTTGAGATAGAAACATGTTTCTGTATGTTAGACACATGAGCTCATCACATGACATCACATCACTTCACATATGAACACGCTCTGCAGGCTGTTCCCATCACACCTCTCTCTGTTCAGCTGATGGAGCACACTGATTTTTCATGTCTTCAAATCTCTGATTCAGCTTTGGATGAAATCAGTGGCTCTGCTTTTAACTCCACTTCCTGTCTCTGAGAGTCATGTTATCTGCACTCTGCTGATGTCTGTTGGTGCTCACTGTGACCCAGCTTCCCTCAGGCTGAACATACTCAGAGCTGATTGAACTGATTCTGATCAGCTGTTCTGTTTCTCAGCTCAGGCTCAGTCAGCTCAGAGATCAGGATCAGAGTTTGTTGAGCCTGCTCTGTGAAACAGGGCCCAGGTTGTTTACCTGTGTTGTTTACCTGTGGTAGGCGGGGTTGATGTGGCGGTCTGAGCGCAGCGCCTCAGCGGCGTACAGCGTCAGGCTGCAGGGGAACGCCAGCTCAGAGTCCAAGTCATAAACCAGAGAAGAAGAAGGCTGACGGCTGACCTGCAGCAGGATCACGTGGTAGTCCTGAAAAACACTGTCACATCATTAATGACATCATCATCACTAATGAGCTGTGTGTGACATCACACTGATTATTAGAGACGCAGTGACATCACAGACCCAGATCACCGGATGGTCCCCACGTCCAGACTTTTGCTTCCACAGAGGAACCTGACGGAGGACAGACAGAGGACACACAGATGTTCTTTAAGAACACTACAGACCTCATGCATAACAGATGTTTCAGAGAACTTTAGAGAACTATACAAAACCTCACGGTTGTTTTACAGAACCTGATGTGTTATAGGTCTGGCAGAATTATACCCAGATGTTCTGGCAGTGACATGTTCTCCTGAGTGTTCTCCTGAGTATTCCCCTGTGTGTTCTCCTGAGTGTTTTCTTGTGTGTTCTCTTGTGTGTTCTCCTGAGTGTTTTCTTGTGTGTTCTCCTGAGTGTTTTCTTGTGTGTTCTCCTGAATGTTTTCTGGTGTGTTGTCTTGTGTGTGTTCTCCCAAGTATTCCCCTGTGTGTTCTCCTGAGTGTTTTATTGTGTGTTTTCCTGTGTGTTCTTGTGTGTGTTCTCCCAAGTATTCCCCTGTGTGTTCTCCTGTGTGATCTCCTGTGTGTTCTCCTGTGTTCTCTTGTATGTTCTCCTGAGCGTTCTCCTGTATGTCCTCCTGTGTGTTCTCCTGAGTGTTCTACCGTGTTCTCTTTTGTGTTCTCCTGAGTGTTCTCCTGTATGTCCTCCTGTGTTCTCCTGAGTGTTCTCTTGTGTGTTCTCCTGTGTGTTCTCACCGTTCTGTTCTCATTAGAGATGAAAACCACCAACAGTTCCTCCAGCAGCACGGTTCTCTCCGTTGTTATGAACTCACAGAGTTTCCAAACATTTTCTTCACTGCAGAGCAAGAACAGACGACAGAACCACAAAACATCAGACATCAACAGAACCTGTCAGGAGAACCTATGGTATGTTCTACAGATAGAACCCTGTAGAACCCTGTAAGTAGAAACAGATAGAACCCTGTAGAACCCTGTAAGTAGAAACAGATAGAACCCTGTAGAACCCTGTAAGTAGAAACAGATAGAACCCTGTAGAACCCTGTAAGTAGAAACAGATAGAACCCTGTAGAACCCTGTAAGTAGAAACAGATAGAACCCTGTAGAACCCTGTAAGTAGAAACAGATAGAACCCTGTAGAACCCTGTAAGTAGAAACAGATAGAACCCTGTAGAACCCTGTAAGTAGAAACAGATAGAACCCTGTAGAACCCTGTAAGTAGAAACAGATAGAACCCTGTAGAACCCTGTAAGTAGAAACAGATAGAACCCTGTAGAACCCTGTAAGTAGAAACAGATAGAACCCTGTAGAACCCTGTAAGTAGAAACAGATAGAACCCTGTAGAACCCTGTTAGTAGAAACAGATAGAACCCTGTAAGTAGAAACAGATAGAACCCTGTAGAACCCTGTAAGCAGAAACAGATAGAACCCTGTAGAACCCTGTAAGTAGAAACAGATAGAACCCTGTAGAACCCTGTAAGTAGAAACAGATAGAACCCTGTAGAACCCTGTAAGTAGAAACAGATAGAACCCTGTAGAACCCTGTAAGTAGAAACAGATAGAACCCTGTAGAACCCTGTAAGTAGAAACAGATAGAACCCTGTAGAACCCTGTAAGTAGAAACAGATAGAACCCTGTAGAACCCTGTAAGTAGAAACAGATAGAACCCTGTAGAACCCTGTAAGTAGAAACAGATAGAACCCTGTAGAACCCTGTAAGTAGAAACAGATAGAACCCTGTAGAACCCTGTAAGTAGAAACAGATAGAACCCTGTAGAACCCTGTAAGTAGAAACAGATAGAACCCTGTAGAACCCTGTAAGTAGAAACAGATAGAACCCTGTAGAACCCTGTAAGTAGAAACAGATAGAACCCTGTAGAACCCTGTAAGTAGAAACAGATAGAACCCTGTAGAACCCTGTAAGTAGAAACAGATAGAACCCTGTAGAACCCTGTAAGTAGAAACAGATAGAACCCTGTAGAACCCTGTAAGTAGAAACAGATAGAACCCTGTAGAACCCTGTAAGTAGAAACAGATAGAACCCTGTAGAACCCTGTAAGTAGAAACAGATAGAACCCTGTAGAACCCTGTAAGTAGAAACAGATAGAACCCTGTAGAACCCTGTAAGTAGAAACAGATAGAACCCTGTAGAACCCTGTAAGTAGAAACAGATAGAACCCTGTAGAACCCTGTTAGTAGAAACAGATAGAACCCTGTAAGTAGAAACAGATAGAACCCTGTAGAACCCTGTAAGCAGAAACAGATAGAACCCTGTAGAACCCTGTAAGTAGAAACAGATAGAACCCTGTAGAACCCTGTAAGTAGAAACAGATAGAACCCTGTAGAACCCTGTAAGTAGAAACAGATAGAACCCTGTAGAACCCTGTAAGTAGAAACAGATAGAACCCTGTAGAACCCTGTAAGTAGAAACAGATAGAACCCTGTAGAACCCTGTAAGTAGAAACAGATAGAACCCTGTAGAACCCTGTAAGTAGAAACAGATAGAACCCTGTAGAACCCTGTAAGTAGAAACAGATAGAACCCTGTAGAACCCTGTAAGTAGAAACAGATAGAACCCTGTAGAACCCTGTAAGTAGAAACAGATAGAACCCTGTAGAACCCTGTAAGTAGAAACAGATAGAACCCTGTAGAACCCTGTAAGTAGAAACAGATAGAACCCTGTAGAACCCTGTAAGTAGAAACAGATAGAACCCTGTAGAACCCTGTAAGTAGAAACAGATAGAACCCTGTAGAACCCTGTAAGTAGAAACAGATAGAACCCTGTAGAACCCTGTAAGTAGAAACAGATAGAACCCTGTAGAACCCTGTAAGTAGAAACAGATAGAACCCTGTAGAACCCTGTAAGTAGAAACAGATAGAACCCTGTAGAACCCTGTAAGTAGAAACAGATAGAACCCTGTAGAACCCTGTAAGTAGAAACAGATAGAACCCTGTAGAACCCTGTAAGTAGAAACAGATAGAACCCTGTAGAACCCTGTAAGTAGAAACAGATAGAACCCTGTAGAACCCTGTTAGTAGAAACAGATAGAACCCTGTAAGTAGAAACAGATAGAACCCTGTAGAACCCTGTAAGCAGAAACAGATAGAACCCTGTAGAACCCTGTAAGTAGAAACAGATAGAACCCTGTAGAACCCTGTAAGTAGAAACAGATAGAACCCTGTAGAACCCTGTTAGTAGAAACAGATAGAACCCTGTAAGTAGAAACAGATAGAACCCTGTAGAACCCTGTAAGTAGAAACAGATAGAACCCTGTAGAACCCTGTTAGTAGAAACAGATAGAACCCTGTAAGTAGAAACAGATAGAACCCTGTAGAACCCTGTAAGCAGAAACAGATAGAACCCTGTAGAACCCTGTTAGTAGAAACAGATAGAACCCTGTAAGTAGAAACAGATAGAACCCTGTAGAACCCTGTAAGCAGAAACAGATAGAACCCTGTAGAACCCTGTTAGTAGAAACAGATAGAACCCTGTAAGTAGAAACAGATAGAACCCTGTAGAACCCTGTAAGCAGAAACAGATAGAACCCTGTAGAACCCTGTTAGTAGAAACAGATAGAACCCTGTAAGTAGAAACAGATAGAACCCTGTAGAACCCTGTAAGCAGAAACAGATAGAACCCTGTAGAACCCTGTTAGTAGAAACAGATAGAACCCTGTAAGTAGAAACAGATAGAACCCTGTAGAACCCTGTAAGCAGAAACAGATAGAACCCTGTAGAACCCTGTAAGTAGAAACAGATAGAACCCTGTAAGTAGAAACAGATAGAACCCTGTTAGTTCTAGCTAAAGTGATCATCTCTAATGCCCCACGGTTTATTTAGAATGAGAGCCTGGTCAAAGAACTGTCCCGGTTTGGTCAGATCGTGTCACAGGTGAAGATGGTGTCACTGGGCTGTAAGTCAGTCAAACTGAAGCACGTAGTGAGTCATCGCAGACAGGTGTACGTGATCCTGAAAGACCTCACTCGTGATCGCAACCTGTCTTTCTCATTTAAAGTTGATGGTTATTCCTACATGGTTTTTGCAACATCAGAGACAATGAAGTGTTTTGGCTGTGGAGCAGAGGGTCATCTGATCCGATCCTGTCTGGGGAGGAGTGGAGCGAAGCAGCCGGCGGCTGCTACCACTGCAGCCCAAGGTGGGGAGCCGCCGAGGGCTGCACGGTCTGAGGCTGCTGTTGGTGGCGAGCCACCACAGCTGGCCCACTCCAAGGGCACCTCTGTCGGCTGCGGGTCTGGAGCCTCTCCGGTCGCAGGAGGCTGAAAGTCTGGAGGTGAGAGACCTCACATGTTCTGAGACAGCAGTGAGTGAGACAGGTAAGGAGCGCAGTGACGGGGTTGAAGCCAGTGTGTCTGGAGTGAATGAGAGTGTAAACAGTGATCACGTGACAGCACAAGTCGATGCAGTGTTGGATGAGGAGATGATGAGTGATGACGACTTAAAAGACTCACAGAAAAGAAAAAGCAGCGGGTCAGGGAGAAACAACACTGAAGTGAGCAGGAGAAGAGTGAAGCTCAGTCAGGACAGAGACAGTGACTTTGTCCTGTCGCAAGAGTCTCACACTCTCTACACTGCAAATGAAATCCAAAGGTTCTTAGAGCAGACCAAAGGGCAAAGGCTCATTGGTCTCTCTCTGTCTCTCAATTTTTTCAATTTCAATAAGCTTTATTGGCATGACTGTAGATTAACAATATTGCCAAAGACATTAAAAATTTACAAATAAAGTACAATAATAAAAGTAAGTCAGAAAACTATAAAAAAAAAAAAGATTAAATATATGATATATAATACAAAATACACCAATCTACAATACAATACACCAATATATAATATA